CAGAAATCACTCCCTAGGGAGCCGGCGCATGAGCTAGAGCAGTAAGTCGCCACCACGGCCAAAGGATCAGCTGCCGCAAGATGGAGCATCTGGAGGCTTAACACCAGATGGGGGTGTATACTCATCGGGCCTTACAAAAGGGGGCTTACTGGGTGAGGGTTCATACTTGTCAAACCAGATGGGGGTTCGTACTCATCAGCCGAAGGGGTCAGCTACCATCAGAAGGAGCATCCCGGAAGCGCATAACATTTCCCCACAGGATCATCCACCGCAAAGACGGAGCATCTGAAGGGTAACCGGGCAAGAGGGTCAACTCCTTTAACTTCCTGTCAATCTGTCTGGCACAACAGGCCAACAGCCGACAAGTCAGGTAAAGGGGGGGGGGGCAGCTGTAGACCCCAAATCTTGCCCGACCTCCAAATAAAGAGTAGAAGACCTCCTATTCGAAGATGGACGAAGCCTAACAAGCCACTAGGAGAGACTATTAGGCCCCATACTAGGATAGGAGGGATTTTTGGCACAACAATAAGGTTTCTCGCCCTCTTGGGACGAGACCGCGGTCTCGAAATCGAGACCGTCGTCTCGCCTCATGCAAATGGCGAGACCGCCGTCTCGTTTGGTGAGACGGCGGTCTCGCCACCTGCGAAGGGTGAGACGGCGGTCTCGCCACTTTGGCAAGGCGAGACGACAGTCCTGGTTGACGAGACGGCGGTCTCGACCCTGTCAGACGAGACGGGGGTCTTGACCCTATCAGACGAGACGGCGGTCTCGACCTGTCAGGCGCGAAAAACTATAAATAGGGGGCGCCATTCCCTCATTTCCACACACCACAGACAGTTTCTCCTCCTTCTCTCTAAAAATCACCTAAGTTTCTCTCTCTAGAATCCCTCCGACGCATTTTCGGAGCTTCTGAGTGCTTCTGTGAGTGTTTTTCGGCGTTTCGAGAAGTTTCCGACGCTGTGTAGAGTGAAGGGCTGCCATAAAGCACCTTTTTTTTTAAAGAATTAATATAAAAGCGTGCTTTGGAGGTTTATATTCCCCCTCTCTACTTTTATCGCTTTAATTTTAAATTATGCAATAGATACTAGGGCCATGTAGTCGTAATTTTAAATTCCGCAGAATAAAAGGGCAAAAGCGTAATTTTCATCGGTTTAAATATTTTTAAAATAGCTGGCCTGTCATAGGGAACCCGCAAGGGGCATCATAAAGGAACTAACACTTCCTTTATATGTAACTAACTCCCTTACCCAACTCTGGTTCTAACGACCAAAGTTGGTTTTTCGAAAACCAATGCCTTTTAATTCCTTTTTCGATGTTTCTGGTAAAAACATCGGTGGCGACTCCACAGAACCCTTCAAAACTAGCTTTTGGATTAGCCCGGTTATCGGACAATCCAAGAGCGCCTTTTTGAAAACCTCCCCCCTAGGTTCAGCCCGGTTATCGAACAACCTAAAGGCGTTATAACCACCAAAACGCGAAAATCAAGAGGATCGAAAACCATCGCGTCGCTCCGACCGCCTCTTTTGATGGCAGTGACAGGCCATTATAACCAGAGTTGGTTAAGGGAGTTAGTTACGTGTGGGGAAGGTGTTAGCACCCCACAACGCCCCTTTCGGGTTCCCTATGACAGATTAATTCATTAAGCAAAGATTATGAGAAATTACGCTATTACCCTATTTTATTTATACAATATTTTAAAAATGGTTATCTACATGATTTTATTTTCTATTGCATACATAAAGCAATAAATAAAGCAATAAAAGAGAAGAGAAGTGAAAAGAAGCTCCGTAGCAAGCTTTATATTGCAAATCTTTAACTGTGAGGATGCGTTTTGGCAATCCCCCGCTCTACAAAGACTCTCCTCCCCGAATACAAGATCGACTCTACTAAAATTTTTAAGAAGAATCGAATGCTGGTATACTATTCTTTAACCGATTGTTACCTTTTTTAGGCAATCGGAGAGTTCATTCGAAAGAGGGAGAGAAGACAAGTGTCTGGAGTGTGAAAAATGCTCAAATGAGCTTCCTATTTATAGTTTTCGCAGCCTGGCTGCTCGGGACGGCCGTCAGGGATCTGGGACGGCCGTCCCAAGTGAAAAAATTGGCTGAGATGGCCGTCTGGCATGTGGGACGGCCGTCTGGCATGTGGGACAGCCGTTTAGGCTTGCTGGGATGGCCATCCCGACTTCTAGGACGGCCATCTCGACTGTTTTGGCCAAATTTTGTGTTCTGGGACTCTCGAGAAGCTTTCCTTTCTTTATTCGGAAGTCGATTGATGCCGATAGACGTCCACCGAAGCTTTATCTTCATATAGGAAGTCTTCTTAGCCTTTATTGAGAGGCCGAGCAAAATTAGGGGTCTACAGCTGCCCCCCCTTCACCTGTCTAGCTAATTGTTGGTCTAATATGCCCATAAAGTTAGTTGGTAGGGGAAGGAGTTAACCCTTTTTGCCCGGTTGTCCTTCGGATGCTCCTTCGCTTGAAGTTTTGTTGATGCTCTGGATGATAAATATTTTTTATAGGTACCAACTCCTATCTGGTTTGAGCCTTCTTTTATAAGGCTCTGGTGAGTACTTACCCTCACCAGGTATGAGTCTGCATTTTGCTAGACTCTTGTGGGTACCTACCCCAACTAGGTATGAATATGCTTTTTGCTTAGATTCTGATGAGTACCTACCCTCATCTGGTACGAACCCTCTTCCATAAGGCTCTTGTGGGTACCTACCCCCACCTGGTACGAACCTTGTTCTGCAAGGGTCTGGTGAGTACCTACCCTCACCTGGTATGAGTCCGTATTTTGCTAAACTCTTGTGGGTACCTACCCCCACCTGGTACGAACCCCGTTCTGCAAGGTTCTTTGTGGGGACTTACTTCCGAGGTGCTCAACGACTGAACTATCCTCTAATAAAAGCAAGTTTTTTGCAACCCTTTTTGTAAGGCTCTGGTGAGTATCTACCCCACCTGGTACGAATCTGCATTTTGCTAGATTCTGATGAGTACCTACCCTCATCCGGTACAAACCTTATTTTATAAGGCTCTGGTGGGTACCTACCTCCACCTGGTATGAATCTGCATTTTGCTAGATTCTGATGAGTACCTACCCTCATCCAGTACCAACCTTATTTTATAAGGCTCTGGTGGGTATCTACCCCCACCTGGTATGAATCTGCATTTTGCTAGATTCTGATGAGTACCTACCCTCATCCGGTACCAACCTTATTTTATAAGGCTCTGGTGGGTACCTACCCCCACCTGGTATGAATCTGCATTTTGCTAGATTCTGATGAGTACTTACTTTCATCCGGTACAAACCTTATTTTATAAGGCTTTGGTGGGTACCTACCCCCACCTGGTACGAACCCTATTCTATAAGGCTCTTGTGGGTACCTACCCCCACCTGATACGAACCCTATTCTATAAGGCTCTTGTGGGTACCTACCCCCACCTGGTACGAATCTGCATTTTCCTAGATTCTGATGAGTACCTACCCTCATCTGGTATGAACCCTATTCTATAAGGATCTTGTGGGTACCTACCCCCACCTGGTATGAATCTGCATTTTGCTAGATTCTGATGAGTACCTACCCTCATCTGGTATGAACCCTATTCTATAAGGCTCTTGGGATGCTCTTTTTGGCATTCAAACTTTTGATGAGTGCAAACCCTCATCTGGTTTTTTGGAAATGTGTTGGCGGCTTACTGTCTCTGATCATGCGCCTATTTCATGGAGAGTGATTGATTTTTTCTTTTTGACGTTTCTGTCTTAGTCATCCGGTTTTACCAGGGATTCTTTTGTTTTTTACTTTTCTTTTTTTAGCCATCTGGTTTTACCGGGGATTCTTTGTTTTTGGCTTTTTTTTTAGCCATCCAATTTTACTTGTGATTTCTTATTTGTTGCCTTTTATTTTTAGGCAGGAATCCCCCAGGGATTTTGTGGTTTCGGGCTTTTCTATTTAGCCATCCGGTCTTTGCCGGGGTTTATGGATGATTGCCTCTTAATTTAGGCAGGAATCCATTGAGGATTTATTGATTTCTGTTGATTGTGCCTCTTGATTAGGCGGATGCTTCAATAGTGGTGAAGACTTTATGCTTTGGGCTTGCATTGCCTCTTGCATAGGTTGTGTAGACCCCTAATTTTGCCCGGCCTCTCAAAATAAAAGCTAGAGGAACTTCACCCGAAGATGGAGTTCATCAGGCTTCCCAAAACGAGAAGGACCGCCCACAACAAAAGACGGAGTTCACTCATTCACACAATAAAAGCCAAAAGAGACTTCCTACACAAAGACAAAGCTCGCCCGACATCTTAATGAAGGCCAAGAAGACTTCCTATATGAAGATAAAGCTTCAACGGACATATATTGGCATCAATCCAAGTCCGAAAACGGCAAGGAAAGCTTCCCGGGGTCCTGAACGCGAAGACTCGGGACAAAACAGTCG